AGGGAAGTGGTCCCTCAGAACCCGAAGTGAGAAACAATACTTTAGGCCTTAACCTTCAGGTCCAGGACTTCCCCTAGTGGACACAGAGCAGATATACAGCAGACGGTACTGTATATGCATTCAGGAGACCTTGGAAAAGAACAGAGATTATTATGATGTTTCTTCTACAGGAGTAGGTGATGCCGAGTGGCCTGTCCTCATGGACCAGAGGATGGACACGGAGAACGAGAGTCTGAGCAAAGCTCCAAGGTGAGATGACCCTCATTTTATTTCTTTACAATGTCTCAAGAATAGATTGCATCATCTGTTCCATGTGTTCTCATAATGTGCTCCAGAAAGAAAAAGGCAGAAAGACCTAAAGCCAGCAAACAGTCCTCTAAGAACTGCCCAACATGTCCAACATGGTGTTTACGGTAAGTTCTTGTGAAACTGGTCTTCATCATGGCATCAACTTATTTTATGATGAAATAGATTGCTACTATTTTTTCGTAAATTGATTTTGATGAAAGCAATTTGATTTTTTAACAAGTTCTCCTTCATTATGGTGAGCTATTTTACAATATTGGTTTTGACTCGCATGCACACTGTTCTGTTTAGCTCAGTATTTGCAACAATGATGGACCTTTGAAACCATCATAATTATAACCATGATGGTTCTAATTAAATCAGAGGTTTGTGTGGGAGGACCAGTGTTACATTTAAGATCCCCAGAAATCTTCACATGCTCAATTGCATTTATTCTTTACAGATTAAAAAAACACACACCTGTTTAGAGTTGCTTTTGAAACATTATGAATGAAAAATGAATCGTTATTCTGATGAATAACGACTGCAGTTGGCAAATGTTGACTGTGTGTTCTACAACTTTGTATTTCTTTGTCCGTGGTTTTATAATGTAAAGCACTTTGAATGAATTGTTGCTGAAATAAACAATTCATTCATATGCAAATAAACTCGATCCATTGATTCTATAAAGATGTGCACATCATTTCTACATACACACACACACACGCACACCACCCCACACCCCCCCCAACCACACACACACACACACACACACGCACACCCACACACACACACGCACACCCACCCCCACACACACACACACGCACACACACACACACCTATATGTGTGTACTAATAGAGTAAGATTTTTCAAGCTTTTATTTTTTGCAATTTTAATGATTATGGCTTACACGTAAAGAAAACCCAAAATTTAGTGTCTGAAAATTTAAATATCACATAAACTGGTTACAAAGAGATGTTACAAGAGCAAATATCAAACTTCTAAAAAGTCTTTTCAGTCTGTGGACTCAGTACTTGGTCGAGTCTTGTCTTTTATGAATAGCTGTGCACTGAATTACTTTAACTGCAGTCAAAGGTGATCCATTCCTAAGTTTAATTTATGATGTTCCAAAATAACTATTATGGTCAGCATGATAATTTGATACCTATATGTGCAGCTGTCCAAGATGAATTTGTCCCATCATCAGTACCAGCTGGTGTTCAGTAACAGAAAGTCAGACAATTTTATGTAAGTGTCTGGACCAATTTTCTGCTGACTAAGAAATCCTGGATAATGCTCTCTTTTTGTTCTTTTTATTCTGCATAAGAGACTTAGTCTAAGTGGCTTTTTGTCAGCATTTGTTGTGATTATAGCACAAAAGTCTGTAAGTTGCCCTGAAATATTTTCGCCTACTTTTCTATGATGTTGCAGGAAGCAGTTGACGTTGCCCTGATTCTTATCATGTTGACAAGAGACAGCAAGAGAGAGAATTTCAAATCAAACAGATCTCCACAAAATAATGCATTTGATGGCATTAGATCAGACAGTACAGTAAGGTTTCCTACAACCTCATGGCTTGTCATATACTTACGTTTATCTTCATTAAAGGTGAGATTTTTAAATGAAAAAAAATCTCACCTATTATGTAAATTTCACAATCAGTGAGTCAATAACTTGGCCAATAACTGGTTCAGAATGTTATTCACTGATGATAATATTATTAGAACTATAATCATATTTGATGTGTTGTGACTGCTGCTTTGAATATTTTATAACCCCTCTTCTGGGTGATAGGCAAGATGTGATAATATCAAAGATTTAATTGCTGCTTTCAAGATATTTCAATTAATAAAACTTGCATGTCTTCTTATAATTGACATATCTCTACCCATCTATGCAATCATGTCTTTGATGTGATTTTTCCATTATAATTTGTCATCGACCCTTATTTTCAGAAGTTGTTTTTTTTCTCAGTTACCAGGTATACATGGATATTGTTCATTTTATTATTAAATATTGAATTATTATCACTATTAAATTATAATTTTACTGCAAAATCAAACAGTTTTAGATATATATTCAGGACCATTTTATTTTCTTTAATCCATTCCATCACTGTTTTTATTTCCTTGTTTGTAATAGTGTCTAGTTTTTTAGTAGTTAATGCTGATGTATATGTGCTTGAGTCATCTGGATACCTTACTATGTTAGCTTTATTAAACATCATGGAGTGCAGATTATTCATTTTGGATAAAACGGGTAAGTAACAGCAGAGTGATCTCACCAGTAGATGTCGCCAGCACTGCTGTCCAACATGTGGTGAAGAAAGCGCAGAGCCAAAGAGCGTCTTAGTGACTCATCTACATTCCAACCCTCACCTTTAGTCAGGAAACATGAACCAGGACCAAACTGAGGAGGTCCTGGATATACAAGAGGCTGAAATAAGCTTCCTTCTTATGAGGTTTTCCATGTAAGTCCCAGATGAAGGAGATTCCAGGGATAATCAGACCTCACTGGTGGTACTATAAATCCTTTCTGGCCTGGAAAGGCCTTTGGGATCCCCCAGAATGAATATTATTAGGAAGAGTTAAGTCTGAGGCTTACTGCCCCTAACAAAATATTTCCTGAGAAGTGTAAGCCAATTAATAAATGGAATGTGAGACTCTAAATACTTACCTGAAAGCATTTCCCTGTTGATTGTCTGATCATTTTTAGACGACAGAAACGTCCTGAAACGAATCCTGTTCAGACACTTCAACCTGGACCAGTATCTGAACTTCAGAGTGAAACTTACACGGATCCTGTTAAAGGTTCATTATTTCAGAGGTAAGTTTGGACTATTGTCTACACACCATCTCATATCTCCATGGAGACACAAACCAATCCAAGTCTATAAACTCCTCTATCTGACTGAAACTGTTGCATTTTAAGGCCTATTACTCACCATTTTGGATCAGCTTAGGACAGAAGAAAGACTAATTTCTCTGGACACTGAATTCAACATGATTATTCAATGTTATATGAAGAGTTTTAATGTTAGTCAAAGCGTAACATTCTGGTCCTCATAGACTTTTTCAGCTGTTTGATGTTTGTAAGGATGTGTGCAGAGGGAGGTCAGAAATTTGTTAAAAATCCAACCAGATCATAAATCTCCTCAGAGTGACTCCTGTTTTAATATGGCCTCATCTAGGAGCTGGAACATGATTACAACATGTATGATAAGTGTATCTTCTCCAGCTGATAAAATGTTTATAAAAATTAACCATCACTAAAATTTGCATCATCTTTGGACCCAAAGTCCTCCTGAGGATGTGAAGAAAACCTGGAGGAAGATTTGTCCCAAAGGGGACAAGGATGCTGTAAGTGACCGTCCATCTTCTTTAAGCTAGTTGTTCTGGAGTGCTGTTGGTTTGTTCTTGTTTGTGTGTTCTAGCTTAATTCTGTCACAGCTGATTTTAAAGTCAGATTTTCACTGTTATTCATACATTTGCAAATGTCACTATTTCAAACTAAATTCTTTGTTAAAAACTATATATATAGAACCAAATTCAATATATATTTTAAATATTTAGTTCTATATATTTTGAAAAATAAATGTTAATTTTATATACTTACTTCCTTATTCATGTATTAGCACAAAATGGATGATGAGCTTCTCTAGCTTCCTCACCACTGCAGCCAGTCTGACGCAGTCACCAAACCGTCACCAAACAGTCAGAGCAGATCAGACTCATTTCACTCTCTTCGTCCACATTGCAATAAATTATTTGCCGGTCGCCAGTTGCCAGTTGTCAGTTGCAACTGTTGCCATGGCCTGTTGCCATGGCGACAGGCCCTGGCAACTGGCGACAGGCGAGCATTGTCAATTGACATCCAACGCTTGCTACTTTAAATTCTGACTCACCTTCACGAGAGGGATGTTAATTGAGATTACATTATCAAAACTATCTCAAACTAGGTTTCAACTCCCACAAGAGTTGCGTCACCTGAAAATCAGCACAACCCTCCATGCAACCAACTCTAACATGTGTCACCAAATGTCCTCACATGCCTTCATCTGAAGGGCTATTCTCAAAGAGATTCATAGGTCTATCTTATTTAGAAAGGGTAATTCATGGACAGCTACTTTATCTGCTGAGATGTACCACCAAAAAGAACTCAAGAACTACTTTTTACATTATTCTTAAGATTTTACTTAAATCTAAAGTAACAGTATAATTCAGAAACACCTGTTGTCCACTGACATCCAAACACACACCATCACATGCCCTTCTGTGCTGCCATGTGAAGCCACGTCACGAGTCCAATTATGATTTGCCTCTCTCCTCGAATGTCAAAGGTCACCTGTCAAAATTTTTGATTGCACCATTAATGTTTTTTAACAACACTTGAGAATTTTTTTAAAAAAGACTTAAAATTTAATGAGGGGCTAATAACTTTGACCTCAACTGTATATAAACTAATATTTCAGTCTTAGTATTCATCATACCTTCCTGGTAAGGCCTAGATTTTTAAATAATAATAGATGAAGGCATGTGTCCAGTACTGGCTTTATCTGATGCTACACATGTATGGTATGAATATAATTCAATCTGGAGAGACTGAGACAGACAAAAACATAGATTAAAAAGTCTTATTGACATAAATGAATTAAAGTTCTTTGGCGTTCGGACCCTGGCAGAAGATTTTGTGCCGTGAATTGAAATAAGCTCGGATGAGCGCTCCGGATGTTGATGAGGGATGTCTTCCCCTGTGGGCCCGTACACTGGTGATCAGAGAAAGGATGGCAGCCTGGGAGAATGCAGGTGGAGAAGGGGTGGAGGTGGTTTGAGCACAGCTGGAAAACAAATGATGCTATGGATGAGGATCTTTATAAGCGGGAACTTGATTGGTGATTGGACGTGACGGGGGTATGGTCCCGTGTCGAGGTTGGTGGTGGATAGCGTGACGCGGTAACTGGATGATGCAGGTGAGGCTAAAGAGTCTTCTAGTTTGAATTTACGCCAAGGCTTCATTTTATCTAAAATGTACAAGATATTATCAACAAAATCAATTCACATTCACATTTTAGTCAATTAACTTCCTAAGCTATTAACACAGAACCAAAAAGAACTGACAAAAAGACACAAAAATAAAACTAATACTAGAAGTAATGATAGAACCAATAAAATTAAATAAAAAGCCAACCAAAGTTCGAGATAACTTTGGTGAGCTGGAAGTATTATTTTCCAGAAGTAAATAATACTTCTGGTAAATTAGTATTATTTACTTCTAGTTGTAAAATAAGAAGTAATTGTATTGTTTATTTATAATAGTAATAGGAGAAGTAAAAATAAAAATACATAAAATAGAACCAAAAAAAATTGCAGTGATGTCATAGTTCAGTGTGATTTACAAATAATGAAAATTGTTGTGGAAAAAATAACCCCTAAGACTGAAGTCATCTTCAAATTAAGGGAGTGCACCCAAACAAACTGCCGACTGGATATAAGTCTGATCCTTCACAGCAGCAGTTAGGATAGCCTTTGTGGTGAAAGGAATACTTTATTTGAGTGGATCAGATTCACAGGCAAGTACTTTGTAGACATTTCTCAAAGTACATGAAAAAAACTCTTCAGAGTGTCGCAGCTGGAGTTTCTCAACAGAGGATCTAGTATATTGGGTTTTAAAAACCTAGTAAAATACCTTTTCGGTCAAGGAATGGAGGCTGCTATCGTAGCCCTCTGCAGGTAAACACATGAAGAGACTTTCATGTCTCGAATGAAACCCAGAAAAATAGGCTTTGCAGACAGTTCTCTAGTGAACACGTTGAAGGTTTTGAAATAAATCTTTCAAGTCAGAAGGTTAGAAGAAAAAGGTTCAAAGTTCTTGTGTGTCAGTTGAAGGTTGACTCCAAAAGCAAAGCTTAGGTCTTGCTTTTGTAGTGGTTTTTGTAGCAGATTTGTACCTGATGAGTTCTAAGTCTTATTGCAAGGAGGTAGTTTGAGAGTGGTATCTCCAGCACAAGAAATAATTAGGAATTAGATCCCATCAGTTTGTTAATAAAAATGGATTCCAACAAGGGTAGGCTTTATAACAGCCTTCGTGGTGATATATACATTGTTCCTTTTATCTGTTTTTTAAAGGAAACAAAGGAATGGTTGAAGGACCATCTAGATGATCTGGATAGCAAAGAGTTTAAGCGCTTCCAATGGTATCTTCAGACTGCAGATGAGTCTGACTTCCAACCAATCAAAAGGAGCCGTCTGGAACATGCAGGCATATTGGACACAGTAGAGCTGATGTTTCAGATGTACACCACAAACACCAAGCAGGTGGCAGACAAGATTTTCCAGAAGATCATTCCATACCAAGGACATGTAATTGCATTTACCTTTATTACTTACACAGGAAGCTCCTTAACTCTCATCAGACGGACTATGAGTTCAGAGAAGGTTTTCTTGACTGGTATAGTGCTAATAATGAATCTTTTTCAACTATGGCAGGAATTTAAACTTTGGCTTCTGGACAAATTGGAAGACCTGAATAAGAAGGAGCTGGAATTATTCCAGCATCACCTTCACAATGCAGATGAATCAAAGGATGGCTTTGGACCCATCAAAAGATTCAAGCTGGATGGTGCAGACATACTGGAGACAGTAGATGTTATGACTAAGACATACCACCCAAAGACCAGGGATGTCACAAAGAAGATCCTGAAGAAGATTGAAAGCAATAAAGGTCTGTCTGATGGAGAGAAACTTGAAACATTAGAAGAAGCTCCTGCTAAACATTTATTCTGATTCCCAACAGACAAAGTTATACCTGAAACTGAGGACCAGATGAATTCATCTTCTCCAAGTGAAGGTACAACCAGTATGGCTTCCATGATCTGGCCTTTACAACTTCACAAAAATCCCATCAAGGAACTGCAGTGAAAAGACTATTTCTGCTTACAGAGAACGAGCTCAACACAATTGTTGAGGAATTTGTGAGGAAGGTACCAAAAGAAACCTTGACACAATTTACAGATGATCTCATTAGTGAAAACATTTTGAATCCATCGGAGAAGGAGGAAATCTTTCGAAACCACACCAGACTAAACATGGCCACCTGCTTAGTTGACATAATGAAGGACAAAGGAAACTCCAAAGAGCTGATCAGTCATATTCAAACCAATTATCCACAACTATTGTCTGAGGAGCAGTCACCTTCTGACCCAGGTCAGTCCACAACTTTCTAATGACAGCTGTTTCTCTTTTCTTTACTACCATGGCTACAGCTAAACACCATCTCATGTTGTTTTAACTTTCTCCAGGTCAAGAGTCTAGTGAGCGTCGCTTCTCTGGAAACACGTAAGTTCAACAAGTTCTTCTAAAATCCAGATTCAAATCAAATTTCTTAAGCTGGCCTTCCAACATTCTGATCCAATCATTAATTTGAACTAATGTCAGTTTGTTTTGGAGTTTAGTCAATTAAATTCCAAGTATGAGGAGTAGGGAGGGATCAGTGGAATAGCACAAAGCTTGTTTATATCATATTTGTCCGGCAGATCCCAGGAACTGAAGTTCCAGGATTATCAGTGGAGTACCACAGGGCTGCTGGGTCATTTTTCTCAACTATATGTTTGCTATACTGACAAGATCCCAACCTCAGCTCCTTGCTGAAAAGCTGCTCGCATGAGACTAATTTAACTTGATAAGTGTTTCCCATTGTCAAAATTCAGTGTGTTTTGTGTTAGTCTTGAACCAGACAAAGCAATGGTGAAATAGTGTATTCAAAATCTCATTGAATCTTTAAGTTTGAACCATGCTCCAGAGCAAGGCCGATATGTTCTCTTGCACTGGTAACAAGTCGGTACCAGGATGAAGCCTTGTGATTTTATGCCAGACTCAGTGTGGAAACAGAATAAACTAGTGTGAACAAAGTGTTGGCACTGGTTTATCACTGAACCCATTTTAGCTAAATATCACCCTCTGATGAAATGTTTTAATTAGTCTGTGTTGGAGGATCAGTCATCTGGAGCCATCGCCATTTCTGGTTGCATATTTCTGAGTATAAAATGTTAAAGCTTTAGAAACAGACATATCAAGTTTAAGAATTTGCAGTAAAATCCAACCAGATGATAAATCGTCTCAGATTGACAAACACATGTTCTCAAATGGTCTTCCTAGAGTTGAAACATGATTTCAACTCTCGAAAGTGACACAAGCTAATCTTCTGTATTTGATATTTCTATAAAAATGTGCATTCACTAAAGATAGCATCATCTTTTGACCCAAAGCTCAGAGGACGAGAAGAGAATATTACGGGCGATCTGGCCTGAAGGAAATGATGCAGTAAGTCATCCACCATCTTCAAGCTGTTTGCTATTGAGTGCAGTTCGTAAAATTACACAATATAAACATTTATTGAAATATTTTGGTCAATTTATGGTAACTTATCATAAAAAAATAAAAAGGATGTTAATTTTTCAAAGTTGTTTTTTCACCATATTTTTGTTCCAAATGAAATATTTGTTTTACAAGCAATATTGAGTTAACAAAGTGCATATTTAGCTCATAATTAAATGTTTAGTTTCAAAGTAAATGTTTATTTTGTGACACAAAAGTCTATTTTACAAACGGACAATTTAATTTCAGAACCAAATACTTAATTTCAATCTAAAATGGTAGAGCAGTTACTCAGATTTAATATTTCCCATATTAAATGTTTATTTGAAAACGAAACATTAAATTTCCAAACTAATTATTTCATTTTCAAAGTAAATATTTAAATTGAATCTAAATATTTAGCTTGCTATTTTAATATCACATGATAGTGATGGGTAGGTCAGGAACGTTTTGGCTCTAGTAGATCTTGCTTTGAAGTGAGCCAGTGCTCTGACGATCTGCGATACCTTGTCAGATTTTCCTACCATAGTGTGTCCAGATAGCTTTGTGTGTCTTTGTGTTTGTTACCTTCCAAAAACCGCGACTGTGATGTTTACACACTGAAGACCATCACAGTTAGTATTGATCTTAAATATAATAACCAGAAGTTAATCTTTATGTGACAAGACTGAAGTTGCGGTTTTAACATCTGAAAGAAAATTAGATGAATGATGAAAACTTTTCTGAAACCACCAGAACATTGTACCCATTTAAAAGAGCTATGTGTGCAACTGCTCTAAAACCCTTAATGATGGTAGTGTATATGTTTGACTTGTAAATCTAGTACGTGTAGACAACAATGCTTCAGTGAGCAATCAAGCAGTAGTTTTAGATATGAAACAAGATGACAACAGACTCATAATATAATTGTGCATGAAGATTTGAATAAATTAATCCATTACTTTGAGAGAAGCAAATGAGAGTATGCCACAGCCACAACAAATATGAAGGAAGAAGAAAACCTGTGAGCTAGCGGATTTCTTCCTATTTATCGTTTCAGAAAAAAAAAAAAAAAAAACTGCAAAGGGCTGCCCCCAAGTGGCCTGGAGCCACAGGACTTCATTTTTTTTAGGATATATTTGGAAAAAGATTTTAAAAAATACTGTGATTGTGTGTTTGTGAACTATAATAAAGTCCATGTGGCTTAAACAATTTAAAGTTGATATGAATACTCGCACGAAACACACTGTATGAGATTTTAGACCATTGCTGGGCCAGATAAAATGGGCAACACATCCCCACACCGGAGAAGAGCAGACTGCATTAAGTTTTTGTCTGCAGTTTAAAGATATTTTATAATATGCAAAATAATAAAAAATAATATTGAGTCTATTTGGTAGATTAGTTCTCAGTGTTTTGTTAATAAATGTTAGTGTTAAAAATGTTTGTTGTTTAAAAAGTTTGATTAAAATATGCAAAAATAATAGTGACTGTTTTCTTAACAAGACAAATACATAAAATTAAGCAAGTATAAGGCCTACTTTCCTATTTCATAGGGAATACTAATTGCAAAAAACAAAGGAAATCATCCTACAAGACATTCATCTTTTTAAAGTTAAGCTAAAATATGAGGTTACAGATGGTAGTGAATTAGGAGTCGTTGTGAAAATAGGACTTTGAAGTAACCACATTCTTTTTTTTTTCTGGCTAAATCAATCAAAAATAATGTTTATTTTTTTTATTCTGTAAGTTTGCAAACAACACTGCCTTTGATGCCAATATTTTCTGAGGTTTCAAAGACTCCAGGAATGTTCCTTCACTTGTCTGTATGAAGATATTCTGTACACTCCTTTAAGATAACATCTGATATAGTCAGGCAAAAAACCTGACCCTGTCACACAGGGTCCATCAATTCTAGAGTTTCAACATCTGTGAGCTGGCATGATGATAACATTTGTCTACCTTCCCTTATCTGTTTTATAAAGGAATGGTTGAAGGACCGTCTGGACGATCTGGACAGCAAAGAGTTTAAGTTATTTAAATGGCATCTCTGCATTCCAGAAAAGTCTGATGTTGATTTCAAACCAATCAAAAGGAGACATCTGGAACATGCAAACATATTGGACACAGTAGATAAGATGTTTCAGATGTACACCACAAACACCAAGCAGGTGGCAGAAAAGATTTTCCAGAAGATCATTCCATACCAAGGACATGTAATTATAATTACCTTTTTTACCTACACATGAAGCTCCTTAACTCTCATCAGAAGGACTATGAGTTCAGAGAAGATTTTCTTGACTGGTATAGTGCTAATAATGAATCTTCTTCAACTATGGCAGGAATTTAAACTTTGGCTTCTGGACAAATTGGAAGACCTGAATAAGAAGGAGCTGGAATTATTCCAGCGTCACCTTCACAATGCAGATGAATCAAAGGATGGCTTTGGACCCATCAAAAGATTCAAGCTGGATGGTGCAGACATACTGGAGACAGTAGATGTTATGACTAAGACGTACCACCCAAAGACCAGGGATGTCACAAAGAAGATCCTGAAGAAGATTGAAAGCAATAAAGGTCTGTCTGATGAGAGAAACTTGAAACATTAGAAAAAGCTCCTGCTAAACATTTATTCTGATTCCCAACAGACAAAAAGTTAAACCTGTAACTGAGGAGCAGATGAATTCATCTTCTCCAAGTGAAGGTACAACCAGTATGGCTTCCATAATCTGGCCTTTACAACTTCACAAAATTCCCATCAAGGAACTGCAGTGAAAAGACTATTTCTGCTTACAGAGAACGAGCTCAACAGAACTGTTAGTTACTTTTTGAGGAAGGTACCAAAAGAAACTTTGACAAAACTCATAAAGGATCTCATTAGTGAAAACATCTTGAATCCATCGGAGAAGGAGGAAATCTTTCGAAACCACACCAGACTAAACATGGCCACCTGCTTAGTTGACATAATGAAGGACAAAGGAAACTCCAAAGAGCTGATCCGTTATATTCAAACCAAATATCCACAACTATTGTCTGAGGAGCAGTCACCTTCTGACCCAGGTCAGTCCACAACTTTCTAATGACAGCTGTTTCTCTTTTCTTTACTACCATGGCTACAGCTAAACACCATCTCATGTTGTTTTAACTTTCTCCAGGTCAAGAGTCTAGTGAGCGTCGCTTCTCTGGAAACACGTAAGTTCAACAAGTTCTTCTAAAGTCCAGATTGAAATCAAATTTCTTAAGCTGGCCTTCCAACATTCTGATCCAATCATTAATTTGAACTAATGTCAGCTTGTTTTGGAAGTTAGTCAATTAAATTCCAAGTATGAGGAGTAGGGAGGGATCAGTGGAATAGCACAAAGTAACTAGTAACAAGTAAGTTCAACAATTTCTTCTTAAGTCAAGATTTAGATGACATGTTCTCAGCTGACCATCTGGTATTGTCACCCAGTCAATCATATACTATAGTACCAAAAGTATTTGTCACCTGACTTGACTCACATATGAGTTTAAGTGACATCCCATTCCTATTCCACATGGTTCAATATGATTTTGGTTCATCATTTGCAGCTAAAACAGCTTCAACTCTTCTGGGAAGGCTGTCCACAAGGTGTAGGAGTGTTTATGGGGTTTTCTGTCCATTTTTTCAGGAGCATATTTGTGAAGTCACATACTGACATTGGACGAAAAGGCCTGGCTCGCAGTCTCTCTCTAATTCATCCCAAATGTGTTCTGACGGGTTTAAGAGCAGGCCAGTCAAGTTCATCTACACCAGACTGTGCCTTATGTCTTTATGGACCTTGCTTTGTTCTCTAGTGCTCAGTCATGATAGAAGAGGAAGGGGCCCACTCTAAGCTGTTCCCATAAAGTTGGTAGCATGGAATTGTCAAAAATGTCTTGGTATGCGGAAACATTCAGAATTCATTTCATTGGAACTAAGTGGCCAAGCGCAGCTCCTGAAAAACAACCCAACACCAAAATCCCTTCACAGTTCCATGCTGGAATTCACTGAGCTCCTGAGAGTTAGCCATCCTTTCTCAAATGTTTATAAAAACAGGCTCCATGCCCATGTGCTTAATTTTATACACCAGTGACCCTGGAAGTGTTTGGAACATCTGATTCCGATAATTTAGGCGAACAAATACTTTTGGCAATGCATTGTATGAACTAAGGCCCAATTGGTTTGGAGTTTAAGGAATTCTGTTTCAAGAATAAGGAGCAGAGATGAATCCCAGGAACAGCACCAGGCTGGTTTAGATTGTATTTCCCTGCCAGATTCCAGTAGTTCCAAGCACCAGGATTACTTGCAGACCTCAGTGGCCTGTCCTTGAGTATTTTTTTCTTGATTATACATTTGCTTCTATATTAGATAAATTTCCACTTTTGTGCTGATGATACTAATCCTGATTAATTCAACCAGTTAGGTAGATTACCATTACTACTTGAGCAGGACCTCTGAAACAGAAACGGCTTTCTCAGTGACTTGATCTGGATGGTGTTAAATCAGCCTCCGAAACACATCTAAAAGTTGCAGGAATCTGGTACCTGGAGTGGAGACCTTGAGAAGACGTTGGTTCCTTTCTGACCAGCAACTCTGAAACCGAACCTGTGCAGGAATTCATTTTTATTTGTGTTACCCGTAAATCTGGTTTACGGGTAACATCACCATAAGGTAATTCGCTGCTACGGGAAGACTACCATTCTTCTGAGCACAATTGGAAAACTATAATTATTTATCAATGGACTAATACCAATAGCTTGATGTGGAGATGAAAGATACAGCAGACTGCTCATGAGTCACAAATGGCTTATAATTGCCTGCTCTGCCAGCTCAGCAATCTTTATGGAGAACCACAGGATTTTCGGGGACACTTTCATATCACATCACGTCTCAGACACTTTCTTAACTAATTTTCATCTTAACTTTTCAAAATGCTTTAACTGAACTCAACACAAAAATACTCATCACATGACAAAGAAAAAAAAATGGAACTAAAAGCTCATGTACGCTTCCGTGACCTTTGTTAATTTTTTTCTGGAAATAGTTCTGTTCAGGGCCATTTCTATTGCTTTATCAAAACTGAGCAGTTTGTTTTCGTTTTTTTTCCTAAAGGAATGTCTGATTCAGGACACAGTAAGTCACCTTACTGACAAAATATTTAAGAATTAGCAGACGTGACTGAAAAAACTAACCAGGTAGTTTCTCTATATTTTTGTGTATTTATTGCATCCTCATTTGCTGACAAAAGATAAAGAATTGTTTTTCCCTGTTTCATAAAACTCACTGGCCCCAAAGCTTGTGCTAAGCTTTGAGTTGCTTTCTTTTATCTTTGGGAGAACATGTCTGTGGTTCAGAAAGTTGTTGTTTTTTTCTATGGCTGACTGGTTCATTCTGTCTGTATGAAGAGAAGAGCCAAGCAGAGGCAGAGCTGTGCCTCGAGTAACAAGATAACAGTGTATGCAGGAGCTGCTCTGGCCAAAACACTGCAGAATCTACTGAACAACATCTATAAGTTGTTTTTTCCTCTTTTACACATCATCAAATAGTGAATCTCCAAATTAGGTCCACTTGGGACAACAAATCCAGTCTCATATGGCTCTTTGTTATGTGACTCTATCACTGCATGAATAATGCAGTTGTCCAAGGCGCTTTCGCAATACGGTTCCAATTTATGATTTAAATATAGACAGACACTAATTGCATATCCCATAATGTTGGAGATTGTACCTCCAACATTAATTTTGTCTATTTAAACAAACAAATAAATAAATATGTAAATACTACAAGGTATTTACATATTTGTATCCAGAAAGAATTTAGGAATCTGCAGTGAAATCCAACCAGATCATACTGACTCAAAATGTTCTAAACTGGTCACTCTCTCCTCCTTGTTGGGATGAACATCATTTATTTTTTTCACAACATGTCAGTATTAAACTACATAATATTTTCCATGTGTTTTCTTTTTTTTTTTTTTTTTTTTTTTCTAGAAACCCCCTCACAGCAGCACCTGCATCCAGCGAGGAGAATTTTGTGGAGAATTGTGTGGACCGCTGCTGTCCATGCCTTAGAAGTATTTTGGATTTGTAAGTTCTCTCCAAACCAGTCTTCATTATGGCAGCGGCTTTGTTTATAAAAGAGTGTTATTGTTTTCTATTTTCTCAGTTGAATTTAACATAGGCAGTTTGTTTATTTCAATTAGTGCTCCTTTGACCCACCGATTTTCTGATGCTGTAAGCCGTGAGCGATTGTGCAACGTTGGTTTTGAATTACATAATATTTTTAGACGCATTTTTGTCCCACCTGTCCTTTCGGGATTCTGTCCTTTTAAGACACACGCACATCATTCTGTTAGACCCGGTTTTTGCAACAATGATAAACTTTAGAGTTATCAGTGTGTTAAAATCTGATGGTTAAATCTGAGGTTGGCGTCAGGGGACCGGTGCTACAACTTGCAGTGGAAAATCATCGTTTTTTAATGAAAAAGATTAGGAAGAGCAGATTGATCCCACAAGGCAGTACTGCCAGTGCTGTGTTTTGGTACAGAAAACGCTGAGCCAAAAAACAACTCTTAGTGGTTAGTGTACATTCCCACCCTTGCGCCTTTGATCAAGACACATAAATCAGGATCAAAACCCTGAGTTCCTGTATATACAAGCATCCAAAATGAGCTTCCTTCATAGGGATGAACTCAGATATAGATATTTGGAGAGGAGTGGAAAATCTGCTGGTTTTCTGGTCCTTCTGATCTGATGGCTCTTTTGTGTAACCAGGTTTTTGTGTGTTCATAATTTCTCCTCAAGTGCTTTTTGAAAGTGGGATCTGGAACTCAGTGGGGTTTTACTTGATTAAATAAAAGAAATAACAAAAACCAGACCTTTCTGGCCTAAAACACCTTAACTTAGAATCCTCCTGAATGAGATGATGAATGTCACTAGGCAGGGGGGAGTTTAGGGTTCTCTCCTGGCCATGTTGCCCCCAACAACCCATTACCTGCCAAGCATAAGACAACTAATGGATGGATGTTTTTTTTTTTTTCTCTGAAGAGTTTTTAGCGGCGCTAGTGGCTTGCATTTTTTCGACAGTAGACTGACAGGAAGGAGGGCAAGGAGGGGGGAGAACATGCGGCAAAGGTCGCTGGGCCCGGGAATCGAACCCGCAACGTCCGCGTCGAGGGCTGAGGCCTCCAAACAAGGGGCATGCTAACCCCCTGCTCCACCACAACAATGGATGGATGTTTAACCTGAATGTGAGAATGTAAATACTCACCTGAAAGCATTTTCTGTTTGGTTTTCTCAGAATTTTCCAAAAGATTCCCCAACATGACGATGACAGGACACATCAAAAATCTGAACCTCAGAAAGAAGGGTAAGATTTTATGCACATCTCCTGTCACCACAGAGCAAAGAAGGGATCTGTCTGTTGAGAGTCTGCAGGCTCCTCTGTTTGACATAAACTTTTATTGTTTTGTTTTTCTGTCTTTTCTCACAACTTGTAAAAGTACAATAGCTCAACTGAAGTTGATGTTACAACTGTATGGTTGGTCAATTCATTAAGAAGACAGAAAATTATTCTTCTGCACACTGAATTCAGCATGACTAAAGTGATATTACATGATTTCAGGAGATTTAATGGACTCTTTGAGTCAACTCTTAATGTTCTGGTTCTTCTAGTCAGATCTTTGACGTTTGTAATGAAGTATCCAGACGGGTTTATGGAAGCTGTGATAAAATCGATCCAGATATTAAATCTTTTCTGAATGATTCAATAAAAATATTTTAAACTTGTCTACCTAAAGGCTGGAACATGATTTCAGCATATATGATTTTGGCTAATCTTTGGTAGCAGATAATATTTCCTTTAAATTTGTCCTTCACTAATGTTAGTATTATCTTTTGACCAGAAAAACCATCGAGGAAAGGCAGGAATTCAGGAACAATTATAACGTAAGTCACCATCCATCATCTTCAATCTTGTTGCCAGAGGGAGCAGTTTGAAAAGTTACACAATAAAAAATTAAGGACTAGGTTCTCAATAATTTGGTTATTTCAGAGTCATAAGAGGAAAAAAAGGGTGTTCGTTTTTTACACCAGTTGGATCACTGGATCATATCACGAGGGGTCGAATAAGCCCCATCTCTCCAAGCTAAATATTTTTTTTCGAAAAACAAATAGTTTTTTCAGGAAATTAAATGCTTATGTACTTCAGACCTAAACGTTGAATTTGTAACTAAATATTTAGTATCCAAATTAATATTTGTAAATTTGTAAGCTACACAATTGTTTGGAAAGCTAAATATTTATTCATGTAAAAATATGACTGAAAAATTTACAAAAATTTTTTGGCTAAATAAACATAAATATTAATAGAATATTTTTTTTTACTGAGAAACATCACAAACAGCACACCTTATGATGCTGTTGTACAAAGTCTAAGTCTTGTAAGGTAAGGTAGTACAGGAGCCTCTGAAAAAAAAAATTCCTCACTTGTGTTGAAGTTCATTATGTATACTTCTTTAAGCTAACATCAGATTTAGTTTTGGTAGGAATCCTGATGCTGTGACCAAATACTCCACCAACTCTGGGGTCACAAAAGCTGTTAACTGACTCATTCATGACATTTATCTAAAACCAGTTATCGGTTTTTAAAGGACAAGCGATGGCAGAAGGAGCGTCTGGATGAACTAGACGACAGGGAGCTGATGCACGTCCATCACTACCTTCACACTGTAGACGAGGCTGAGGTCGGCTTCAAACCCATCAAAAACAGCGGGCTGCAGGGTGCAGACAGACTGGACACGGCACATCTGATGACTGAAGCAGACAGAACAAACACAAGGGAGGTCACGAAGAAGACCTCCGAGGAGATTCAGAGCAATAAAGGTTTGTTAGATGGAGAGAAAATTTTGAAACATCAGGAGAAGTTTTTCTGCTGAACATGCCTACTTACGTTAAGTTTCCTTTTAAGTTTTACCAACTCAAGTTATCTCTATCCACCTCAAATTACCAGGTTTATCCAACTCAATATATATTGCTCGTCCAACTCATTATTTGTCGAGTTTATCCTACTCAGTTTATTACATTTTTTAACTGAATTCATTAAGTGAGTTTAAAATGGCAAATTCAAGTCACTCTTGATCAAATCATTTAGTTTACTTCAGATAAAGAAGGGAACTAATACGAAATCTCTTTTTACAAGGGTTTTTTTTGACTCAGACAGCCTTTATTGAGAGAAGTGGACAGGAAAGTGGGTGATGACAGAGAGAGAAGACAACAGCAAAGATTATGAGAATTTAAGACGACCTCATCGAGGACAAAGTTCTCCTTATGTTAGCTAGGAAGAAAATGAATTAATGAGATACATATGAGTCCATAAAATGAACTACAGCCAAAAACACTTTTTAGTGTGTAGAGGTGCAGATTACTCCATCATTTACAAATGACGGTCCAACAAGATTCTAAAACCAGGCCTTTATTGCATGGCAAAGCATCCATCAAGGAACAGCAGTGATGTCTTTGTGTTCCTGCCTACAGAGAACGAGCTCAAAATGATGCTTCTGGATTTTATGAGGAAAGTACCTAAAGAAACCTTGACACAACTCATAGAGCATCTCATGAGTGCAAACATCTTGAAGTCATCGGAGAAGGAGCAAATCCTTCAAAACCACACCAGACTAAACATGGCCACCTGCTTAGTTGACATTGTAATGGAGAAGGAAACCAATGCCTCCAAGGAGATGATTCATCATCTTCAAACTATCGATCCACAACTGTGGTCTGAACTACAGTCATCTTCTATCACAGGTCTGTTCACAAGGTTTCTACTAGTCACTGTTTTTCTTTTCTCTAATTCTATGATTAAAGCTGAACACTGTCTGCTGTTTATCCATTTTCTAGGACAAGAGTCTGGTGAACATCTCTTTGATAATAAAGCGTAAGTTCTAAAAGTTCTTCTAAAGTCCAAATTCAGATCAAGTTTATTTTAACATCAACCTCTGAAGTGACCTGATTACTCTGTGTTGGAGAACCAGTGACATGGCATTATCACTATGTCTTCCTGGATACCATGAAGTGTAAAATATTCACAAATTTTTACAAACACAATTATTAACGGATAAGTTAGGGGTCTGTGTTAAGTTTCTACCATATGACAAATAATTTCAGAGTGACTTATTTACCAAGTTCTAAACTGATCAATCAAGGGACTGGAACTTGATTTCAGCATATCTGATATACACCGCACCGGGTCCAGAGCAGTTTAGTGGGAGGGGTGCTTTTGCTTAATTTGAGGGGGGTAGACTAAACAAACTTTTACTTTAATATAAATACACAAACAAACTTTTATGTAACATTTCAAATAAAGTAGCCATGTTTATTTAAATAAAATAAACAGTAAGGATGTAAACAGTGACATGAGTAAAATGTTGAGTACTTAAGCTCAAATTTGCATAAACATTAACTCATATGTTGCAGAAATCTAAGGTTTCCCATGAAGTCTATTTCTTTAAATGCAAAATCAAATTGACTCAACTAAGACTAGAAATAATATTACTCAAGTGAAGGAAAAAAGTACAGTGCAGTAAAACTATTCTCAATTCATCCTTTCCCAAAAAGGAACTCAAGTGAATCTAACCAGAACTAACCACTTTTGAACATAGATGTAAAAAATATTAGTCATCTGTTCACTTTAAAAAGCTTAATGTGATTTATTGGCATTAGCTAGTCAGTAAGCTAATGTTACCTGCATCCAACAGCATTAATCAACTCACTCGTTTTGTATGGGGGGTGGACTGTGCAAAGTTCTTTGACTTTTGCTAGTTGCCTGCCATGATTCTAACACACACCAGAATGCCATTCTGCACAGCATCAGCATGTCTCTGTCGCAACTGACTGGTGTTGCATTAAAGGTGGTCGGGAAAACATGTTAGCAATGGATTAAACATTTGTAATGGCTGACAGAGGTGCGAGAGACAGAGGGACAAGTATTGTACCAAAGCAAGGTAGGAATAATAGAAAGTTGGCCACAATGAGGTAAAGATGAAAGAAATACCTTCCAGTCCAGGGGGAAGCTCAGCTGACTCTGTGGGTGGACAATGCCCCCCAATGCCCACTCATCTCACCAGCCCTGGATGTACGCTATCTTCTGCAATAGATATTTTCTTAAAAAATGTACCTTCAGTAAATTTAATATCATTTTATTACTCATAGAGCCTTCAAGGACATGAAGGAAGTCTGGCAGCAAAAATCTCCTGAAGATAATGATGTTGTAAGTCACCATCTTTGTCTATGAGCTTAATGCCACCAGATAGCCTGAGTTTTGACTGATTTCTGTAAAGTTAATTGCTATGCTCATGTTATTTGGGAATAGATTTTCTTCACTTGTTCTTAACAGTGTGTTTTGTAAACTGCTTTAAAAAAACATCAGACATAGTCATGCAAAAAACTTGAAGCTGTGTTCTTGGACCCACCAATTTTGGAGTCCTAATAGCTCATGACTGTTTTGTTGATAAAATTTATCTAACTAACCTCATTTTTAAAAAAAAATTATATCAAGCAATGGTTGAAGGCCCGTCTGGAAGACCTGGATAGCAGAGAGTTGAAGTACTTCCAATGGTACCTTCACACTTTACACGAGTCCGACGTTGACTTCACACCAATCAAAAAGAGCCGTCTGGAACATGCAGACAGATTGGACACAGTAGATAAGATGTTTCAGATGTACACCACAAACACCAAGGAGGTGGCAGAAAAGATTTTCAAGAAGATCATTCCATATGAAGGACATGTAATTATACTTTTTTCTGTATTGCCTCCAAATAGGAATGTCATTAACTTCTCTAATAATTAATGAGCGCAAAGATTATATTTACCGATATTCTAACAGGGAATCTTTTCATAAAATGGCAGGTGTTTAAAGTTTGGCTTCTGGATATTTTGGAAGACCTGGACAAAAAGGAGATGAAGTTATTCCAGCATCACCTTCACAATGCAGATGAATCAAAGGATGGCTTTGGACCCATCAAAAGATCCAAGCTGGATGGTGCAGACATACTGGAGACAGTAGATGTTATGATTAAGACGTACCACCCAAACACCAGGGATGTCACAAAGAAGATCCTGAAGAAGATTGAAAATAATAAAGGTCTGTCTGATGGAGAGACAAACTCGATCAAGAGTTTGTTCTGAAACGTCAGAACGAGTACCTGCTAAACATTCATTCTTCTTATCAACAGACAAAGTGACACTTGAAGAAGAGGAGCAGATTACTCCATCATCTCCAAATGAAGGTACAGTTAGATTCCAAAATTCGGCCTTTATTGCATCATGAAGTTCCCATCAAGGAACTGCAGTAATTTGTATTTCTACTTACAGAGAACAAGCTCATCTGGATGCTTAGTTACTTTGTGAGGAAGGTACCTAAAGAAACCTTGACACAACTCATAGAGCATCTCATGAGTGCAAACATCTTGAAGTCATCGGAGAAGGAGCAAATCCTTCAAAACACCAGACTAAACATGGCCACCTGCTTAGTTGACATTGTAATGGAGAAGGAAACCAATGCCTCCAAGGAGATGATTCATCATCTTCAAACTATCGATCCACAACTGTGGTCTGAACTGCAGTCATCTTCTATCACAGGTCTGTTCACAAGGTTTCTACTTGTTACTGTTTTTCTTTTCTTTAATTATATGGTTAAAGCTGAACACTGTCTGCTGTTGTTTACCCATTTTCTAGGTCAAGAGTCTGGTGAACATCTCTTTGATAATAAAGCGTAAGTTCTAAAAGTTCATCTAAAGTCCAAATTCAGATCAAGTTTATCTATGCTGCCTCAGCAACATTGGCTCCCAATCCCTCATAGAAATTAAAGCCTACAGCGTGTTCCAAATTATTATGCAAGTGATATTTTCTCAGATTTTCTTAAATGGTCAATGCAAATGAGGGTCAGGATAATTTTCAAGTCATGAACTATTATATTATAAATCAAATTTTACTGAACGAAGCTTCCCATGAGAGCAGTATGTTTTTTTAAATATAAAAAACTCGAAATGCACTCTTCCAAATTATTATTTACGGCGGATTTTTTAAACATTTTATGAATTATAAAGAAGACTCTGAAGGGGCCGACCAGCTTTCTCTCTCCCCATGATTTGGGCCCAAAGCATGACTCCACCACCTCCTTACTGACATCACAGCCATGTTGGGACGTGGTGGTCCATCCACCACCAATCCACTGCTGTGTCCATCTGGGCCATCCAGGGTTGCACAGCAGTTATCAGCGAACAAGTTTGTTTTAAAATTAATCTTTATGTACGGCTGGGTCCACTGCCATCGTTGCTGTTTGTGAGCTGGTTACAAACAGCTGTCACAAATTAATTACAGTGATTCAAAGAGCCCTGACACACAATACCATCTATAAATGTAATAGCACAACAAAAAAATGAAACTTTATGAATCTTAAATCCATTCTGCATAATAATTTGGAACACGGTGTAATTGGTTTGGGGTTCAATGTATAATTTTATTGAATTTGCAATATGAGAAGTAGGACACATCAAAGAAACAGCACCAGCCTGGTTTAGATCATACTTGTTTCCCAGATTCCAGTACTTTTAGCTCCAGGATTATAGATGAAGTACCACAAGTTTGTGTTCTTGGGTTTATTTTCTCAATTACATACATGCTTCCACATGTGATAAATTCCCACTAAGATGTTTTGTTTATGGACATTTTTTTTATATATTATTCAAAAATTATGATGAATCCAATCAGTTGGGTAGATCACCACTCCCACTGGACCAGAATATCTGAAGCAAAAACTGCTTAGTCTGTCACTTGATAAACATGGCAATAAATTGGCCTCTGAGACACATGTAGCAATTTCATGACACTGGCCATTGAGGCCTTTATTTGAAGAGGCTTCTTGAATTATAGGCTTTCTACCTCAGTGCCTGAAAACAGAGGAAACAGTCAGTATATGCAGGAGAAATTAACTGTGCTGATGTTTTGGTTGAGTAGTGTGTTTTCTGGTGGGGTCTTCTTGGCATTTAGAGAGGTTTTCTCTGTGTGTGAATATGATGTGATTTCATTTGTTTTCCAATTCTTTAATTTATTTTTGGATTTTTGCTCCAATATTAATTGCTTCCTTTATGAATGAATACAAGTGAAAGACAGTAGATTTTGTAAATAAAACCATGAATAATGTATTTTTAGGGATAAGACTGAGAAACCCCAAGTAGAGGAGCAGCTGGAAGGCCAACAGGACTCAGGTAAGTAATGAAAATCTTTTAAACTGAAACTGCCAGTAGCTGTTGAAAACTTCTATAGAGAGAAGACAAAACATACTTGGTTGTTTGTATATATGTATATTACCAGGAAACTCAAGAGTTTATTTCTGTATCAACCAAATCTAAATTATAGCTTGTGTGATGAACCATGGCCTCTCAGACTATATCTATGTTTTTCATCTCTTTCTGCTCAGTGAAGCACTGTGGGAAACATTTGGAATCTTTGTAAAGCCTGAATATGACAGGCTTTACAAAAAATTGACTCAGATGGAGTCCAGAACTCTGCATAAAAACAAAGTTATGAAATGATATGAAGAATAGGGGTGAAACTGTCTGATACATCAGTCTTTATTTTATCCTCCAATACCTGGACTCAGAAAGTAGACAGAGAAAGCAATTCAATGTTTATCACATCATTCATTCATAACGTGATTATTATATCTTCCTAATATGTTGTGAAGCACCAGCTTGCATAATTTTGAAAAATCTTCAAATTCTTTCCATATTGCATTAGCAGCTTGGTCCATAGATGTTATGTACAAAGTTTCAAGTTGATCCACCTTATAATGTGGGATCAATGTGTTCCTGATGACATAATCAAAACTATGTTATAGCAAAAAAAAATAAAAATCTAGGCAGAAGTGGGCGTAGCCAAAGTAAACATTGTTGCAGAATCATCTAATGTTTAATGTCCCAGTAAGATTCTCAGTGTAGAACTTGAGGTTTAGGAGTTATTACCCAAAATGTATTGTACTTTGTTATAGTGTCCACTAAGTATTGGGAAATCTGAAGACTTTTCTCTAAGCAGCAGTAAGGTTTTTCAACCAGAGCCTCACTAGCTTTACTCCAGTGTTTTCTGCTTTTTCTGGCCAATATGTGTTAGCAGAGAGGAATAAAAAGAACAAAAAATTGTTCCACAGAAGCAGGAGAACGGCCATGCCCTGACTTGCCCATCTACTTGCTTCCATGGGCTTGGAATTTACTGTGAATATATTTTGCATTATAATCTGTTGATGTGACTTTATATACAGACAGCCATCTGATAGAATCAGTAATAGTTTGTATTCTTTATTTTTTTTAAGTGTATCATGTTTTTGTTTGTCTCTTCATTCAGATATTGTTGATCGGCGTCAAAGTGACCTTAAAGAGTCTCTAAAGAAGATGTTCCTATATCTCCGTGAAGACGTTGTTGAAACTCAAAATCAGACCTTTCAGAATCAGATCTCCACAGAGCTGTACATCACAGAGGAATTGATTGGAGAGATCAATGATGAAAATGGAGTCAGACAGATTCAAACATCGTCCAGGAAACATGGATCAACAATCGGACAAGAAGACATTTTCAAACTCCCTCCTGGAAGAGAGGAACCAATCAGAATAGTGATGACAACGGGTGTGGCTGGAATTGGGAAGACAATCTTAACACAGAAGTTTGTTCTGGATTGGGCTGAAAACAAAACCAACCAGGATATCCACTTCGTATTTCCATTCATTTTCAGAGAGCTGAATGCCTTGAAAGAGAAAACATTAAGCTTGGTGGATCTTGTCAATCTCTTCTTTTCTAAAAACAAAGAAATGTGCAGCTTTGAACACTTAAAGGTTTTGTTCATCTTTGATGGTTTGGATGAGAATCGCCTTCCTCTGGACTTTCGGTACACTCAAATCCTGACTGATGTTACAGAGTCCACTTCAGTGGATGTCCTGCTGACAAACCTCATCAGGGGGAAGCTTCTTCCCTCTGCTCTCATCTGGATAACCACGCAACCTGCAGCAGCCAATCAGATCCCAGGTGAGTTCATTGACATGGTGACAGAGGTCAGAGGGTTCACTGACACACAGAGGGAGCAGTACTTCAGGAAGAGATTCAAAGATGTGCAGCTGGCCAGCAGGATTATCTCCCACATGAAGACATCGAGAAATCTGAACAGCATGTGTCACATCCCAGTGGTCTGCTGGATCACGGCAGATGTTCTGGAGAATGAGCTAAAGGTCAGAGAGGGAGCAGAGCTGCCAAATACTTTTACTGAGCTGTACATTAAGTTCCTGGTGATTCAGAAGAACATCAAGAAGGAAAAATATGGTGGTGGAGCTGAAAATACGTACATCAGGCAGATGGTTGGGTCTCTGGGAAGACTGGCTTTGGAGCAGCTGCTGAAAGAAAAATTTGTCTTCAATAAATCAGACCTCAAAAAAGGTGACATTGACATCAAAGACGCCTTGTTGTTCTCAGGCGTGTTCACCGAGAACATTAAAGAGGAGAAAGGTTTGGGCAAAACTTCAGTCTACTCCTTTGTTCATCGAAGCATCCAGGAGTTTCTGGCTGCAGTCTACATGATTCACTGTTTTGCCATTAAGAACACAGAGGTGATAGAGAGCTTCCTAAGAGAAAACCATAATTACTCATCTTTGGATGAGTTCCTGAAGAAAGTCATGGAGAAATCCCTCAGGAATAAAAATGGCCAACTAGACCAGTTTGTTCGCTTCCTTCATGGCCTCTCTGTGGAATCAAACCAGAACCTCTTAGGAGACCTGCTGAGGAAGACAGAGATCAACCCTGACATCATTCAGAGAATCATCAAAAATCTGAAGGAGATGAACACTGATGATATCTCTCCAGAGAGAAGCATCAACATCTTCCAGTGTCTGACAGAGATAAATGACGAGTCATTTTTTCAGGAGATCCAACAGCTCTTGGAATCAGGGAAGAAGCTCACAGAGAGCCAGTGCTCAGCTCTGGCGTACATGATGCAGATGTCAGCGGAGGTTGTTGATGAGTTGGACCTGGAGAAGTACAACACATCAGAGGGGGGGAAACTGAGACTGGTTCCAGCTGTGAAGAACTGCAAAAAGGCTCGGTGAGTCAAGAAGTTTTCATTCAGAACTAGTGTACTCCTGTTTATTATTAATTCTACAAGTTGCTTCTGGATGCTTGTTGGCCTTCAGCTACTTCTTTAGTACTTTGGTCTTTTTCAACCATATATTTACTTAGTGCCAGTTCAAAACAAATGTCCTCTTGGAACATTTAAGAAAAAAAAATTAATCACACAAATATTACAATTGGTTCTAGTTATTAAAAGGTTGGGTAAGCACCCGGAATTATTCAATTTATTTCAAAGCATTTCTGTCTAAGGAAAATGTACATTTAAGACATTTTCCTCATCCTATTTTTCCATCTTCTTTACAATGCCTTAAGGTCTTCTACTTAAATCTAGCATTTCATTATCTGTATCTGAGGCACCAATTGAAAAATGTAAATGTTCAGCTCACTCATGACGGTGCTGCTTTTTTTTTGTTGTTTTTTTTTTGCTAATTTAAAAGTGTCCCACGTTTTCTTTGTTTTCATATTCAGTTGCAATGAATAGAAGACATTGAGAACTAGAAAATCTATATTGTATATGAAAGATCCAATCAGCCACAGCTACAATTTAGAAGTAAAATATCATAATATTTAAAGGGATCTTAAAATATGTAAGATATTTTGATATTTTACGATATGGCCCAAAGTGGGCCATTCGTCCATAATTTGTCTTTTAGGATCTTTGTCCGTTTTAATAAAATCACTTCATAGAATCTTGGACCATTAAAATAAATACTTCATTGCAGTTGTTGCCGTGGAAAATAATTGCTTTCACACAGAAAACCCTGTTAACAAATTTTTCCTCTTCACTCTAATTTCCTCTGAGTTTGTAAATGAGAGCAAGAAGTTTGGTGATTTGTTTGGCTTCAGAAAAAGTCATTTCTGGATGAGTCTTGTGGGGGAAATGTTTATCCAGACAGAGATCGGCTGTGAGTTGGGGAGCAGTGTTGAGGCTAGGGTTCTCTGAATGCCGTCTCTCTTCCAAGAGTTTAATCTTGAACAGTGGAGATTCTGTTGTGGCAATCTCAGTAAAACGATATCCAGATTATATGATTTAGATCACATTTTAGTCTGTTTATAATCTAGATTGTCTGATTTAATCAGAACTGACTTTTTTCTCTAATCACAGACTCAGTGGCTCTGATCTCTCAGAGACTGAATGTAAAGCTGTGGCCTCAGCTCTGAAGTCCACCCCCTGCCATCTGACCGATCTGGAAATAAGTAGGATCATTGAACTGAAAGACTCTGGAATGAAGCATCTGTGTGAAATCCTGGAGAGTTCAATCACTAAAGTGACGATTCTGAGGTTTGTTTCATCTGTTTATTCAATAAACTCATTCACTGATACTTTAATACTTATTTTAAGTCATATCTCTTCATATATTAATTCAGGTTTTAAAGTGTTGAACTTTATATTTTACTCATTTCCACTTTGTTAGGGTAGAAATTATTATTATGTGATGAATTCATAAACAGCATAATGTAATGAAATAAAACAAACAAAGGCATCAGAAATGAAAATAAAATTGACTGCATCACCACATTCCTCCACCTCACCTTTGTTTTAAAGCTGTTGTTCCCTTGGAGTGGGTCAGAGCCTGACAGAAGAGAACATGTCTTGGAGAAGGGAAAGTGGGTGGACAGCAGCACTGGTATTGATGGGAGTGTTGGCGGAGGGTACAGGGATGTATGCACACAATCTAGATTAATAAATCTATCTATACATTAATTATTAGCGCCTCTGACTCCAATAGTCAATTTTGCGTCCTTCTTGCTACATAACAGCATATATTTATAGTAATTTGTGAAATCTCTTTCAAGTCTCCAGAGGAATCCCAGCCAATTCTTCTTTGGCAAATCTTTCAAACTATTTCCAATTCAATGGTCTTCTCGCATGAACTCTGGTTCAGCTCAGATTTTCAATGGGATTCAAGTCAGGGCTTTGTGCAGGGCAGTCAGTAACATTCACCCTGGTTTTCTGGAGGTCGCTCTTCACCAGCATCAATGAATGTTAGAATAGTTTTCATTCTGAAAATATATACATATAACATCAGGTCATCACGTTTTTGTCACTTTTATATTAGGTGAAATTAATTTCCTATATTTTTTGTAGTGTTCATATTTAAGTTTTAACATTGATCCTGTTGGCCTCATCTCCCAAACTGAATTCTTTACTTAGATTGAAGTGGTGCCAGTTGTCACAGATCAGCTGTGCTTCTCTGGCCTCAGCGCTGAAGTCCAACCCCTCCGATCTGACAGAGCTGGAGCTGAGCAAGAACTACGACCTAAAAGATGCTGGAGTGAAGGAGCTGTGTGGTTATCTACAGACTCCTCTCTGCAAAATACAAAAACTGACGTAAGTGTTCAAAATAGATACAGCTGATATTTCTGACATTAAAGTTTAGCTGTCACTGCACTGCATATATATGGACGATGATCTACTGATTCATGGAGAGGTCTGTTTTTTTCCTCTGGTTTTGTTTAGTTTTAGTGAAGTTGTTGTTTTAAAACTTCCTTTGCACACAAAAGCTTATAATGGTAAATATTTCTCACAGACTACTATAAATGCCATGGCATTGCAAAGTGTCATTGTTCTGGTCTGTAAAAATTAGGTCAAACCTTCTTGTGACAGAATGGGGGCAACACCCCTACCCCCACTAGGGAAGTCAGATCACAACATCGTTCACCTACAGCCACTGTACACCCCCCTGGTCCAAAAGCAGCCTACAACAGCTCGCTCCATCAGGAGGTGGTCCCCTGAGATGGAGAGTGCTCTGAGAGACTGTTATAACACCACGGACTGGGATGCACTGTTCAGCCCGCATGGCGAGGACATAGAGGGGCTGACACACTGCCTGACGGACTATCTGAACTTCTGCGCAGATGTGGTATCCCCTGCTAAGACTGTCCGCTGTTACCCTAATAACAAGCCTTGGGTAACGCGGGAAGTCAAAACTGTCCTCAACAAGAAGAAGGTTGCCTTCAGGAGAGGAGACAGGGAGGCCATGAAGGCAGCACAGCAGGAGGTGAAGCAGTGTGTGAGGGAAGCAAAAGACAGCTACAGGAGAAAGGTGGAGCAGAAGCTGAGAGAGAACAACATGAGGGAGGTCTGGGAAGGTGTGAGGACCATCACTGGCCTCAACACAAAGACCAGAGTCGTTGAGGGAACAATGGAGAGGGCAAACCAACTGAACAACTTCTTCAACAGGTTCACCAGTCTGTGCCCCCCCAACCCCCTCTCTCACTGCAGCCACCTCTGCTCCTTACCACACACCTCCCCACAGACAAGAAAACACTGACAACCCCCCACACACCTCAGCACAACCTCCACCCCACATCACCACAGACCAGGTCAGAGAACAGCTGAGGAAGCTCAAGCCCAGGAAAGCAGCAGGGCCGGACCAGGTGTGTCCAAGGCTGCTGAAGACCTGCGCTGCTGAACTGGAGAGCCACTACAGCGGATCTTCAACCTCAGCCTGCAGCTAAGGGAAGTGCCCACCCTCTGGAAGACATCCTGCATCGTCCCAGTGCCCAAGAAGAACAGGCCCAGCGAGCTGAATGACTTTCGGCCCGTGGCACTCACTTCACACCTGATGAAGACGTTGGAGCGGCTCTTCCTCGGCCTCCTCAGACCTCAGGTGGAACATGCTCAGGACCTCCTGCAATTCGCCTACCAGGCAGATGTTGGTGTGGAGGATGCCATCCTCTACCTGCTGCACCGGGCCCACTCCCACCTGGATAAGGGCAGTGGCACAGTGAGGATCCTTTTCTTGGACTTCTCCAGTGCCTTTAATACAATCCAGCCCCTTCTGCTCCAGGACAAACTAAATAGCATGGGAGTGGACCAGCACCTGGTCACCTGGATCCATAGTTACCTCACCAACAGGCCGCAGTATGTCAGGCTAAAGGACACCGTGTCTGACACTGTGGTCAGCAGCACAGGAGCCCCTCAGGGCACAGTGCTGGCCCCTCTTCTCTTCACCCTGTACTCCTCTGACTTCCACTACAACTCGGAGCTGTGTCACATACAGAAGTATGCTGATGACACAGCCATAGTCGGATGTATCAGGGACGACGGAGAGGAGGAATATCGCTGTCTGGTGAGGGACTTTGCTCCTGGAACTCAACACCTCTAAGACGAAGGAGCTGGTTATAGACTTTGGGAGGTCCAGACCAATGCCGAGACCAGTCGTACTAGAGGGAACGGAGGTTGAGGTCGTGGGCTCCTACAAGTACCTCGGGCTGTGGCTGGACAGTAAACTGGATTGGTCAAAACACACCAGCCACCTGTACGGGAAGGTGCAGAGCAGGATGTACTTCCTGAGGAGACTGCGGTCCTTCAACATCTGCAGCAAACTGCTGTGGATGTTCTACCAGTCAGTGATCGCCAGTGTCCTCTTCTACACCGTGGTGTGCTGGGGAGGCAGCACATCCAAGAAGGACACGTCCAGACTGGACAAACTGATCAGACGTGCCGGCTCTGTGGTCGGCATGAAGCTGGACTCTCTGGTGACGGTGGCAGAGGCGAGGACACTGAACAAACTGCTGGACATCATGGACGATAGCAGCCACCCTCTACACGCCGTCATCAGCAGCCAGAGGAGCCTGTTCAGTGACAGACTGCTGCTTCCCAAGTGCCGGACCAATAGATTCAAGAACTCCTTTGTCCCCCACGCCTTCAGACTGTACAACTCCTCACTGGGGGGTCGGAGGTGACACAGGACAGAGGGAAGAAGGAGTAGTTTTTCTACAAATGTGAACTCCATATTTATCAGGCCTAACCATACAGTGCAATACCATATCACTGGTCAATCTATCGACCAAATTGCTATAATTTCCTTTTGTGTTGTATTTATATTCTTTGTTTTGTATTTAATTTGTATTTTTTTGTATTTTGTGTATGCTTACTGTGTGCCACATTTTTGCCTGTGAGCTGCTGGTAACTATAATTTCCTGAGGGAGTCTTCCAAGGGATCAATAAAGTCAAATCTAAAGTCTAGTCTCTCTAAGTCTAAGTCAAAATGTAAACAATTAAGGCTAAGTACACAGAAGTGGAGAAAAATGTGGGAAATTTCAGGGAAGATTTGGGCAGCTGAGTTTTTGAGGAAGAAGCTAGATCAGGTAAAGATTGGGGTCTGGTTCAACTGAAGGACTGTTACCCTTTAGAGGTTGAATGAAATTTTACAAATCACTAATACTGTTAAGGAAGCAATGATGACTAAACCTTTCTGGAGAGGAAGGGACCAACAGTGAAGGGTACTAGCTGGAAATCTGTCAATAAGAAATCTCCTCAAAAATATAATGTTCTAGACTGGTGAAGGCTCTTTTTATACACTGGCAAACTATTTTTTCAAGTTAAGTAGGACTCTTCTAGATATGTAGAGCACCATTTTCTCTCAATTTTTTTATTATCCTGCTTTAAAAAATGCAGCTCTAAATTAAACCAGGGAACACTTCATATGGATATGAATCATATGGATAACTTAACTTAATTTCTAAGGAGACTAAATTGTGTGTCACACCCAATATGAACAAGAGCATGCATTTAAGAAGGGCTACAGATTAAATTGTTCCCTTCATCTGCATTTCTGAGATTGAAAGGAAATTAAACATGAAACAGATTCTTTATATGTTTTAACAGCATTGTTTGATAAAGAATACAATTTTGTCTCAGGTTTGGAATACTTAAAACAAAAACAAACTCGGTTTATCAAAAACTGATCAGACAGCACACGGTGAACGAACAACTCTGGAGGATAGACTTATTGCGATAGCAATGTAACAAAAGTATGCTCTGTCCCTGAATCCTGTGTAGAGCAGAGCACAGCACAAATTTTGATTGATAAGACAGTTGACTTTCAGTTCACGAGAGGACAGGACGGCTTTAATTTTGATTGGATGGAAAGAATGGCCAGTTTTACCACTGGATAACACATTAAATCCATTTCCTTCCAATGCTCACTTGATGCTGAATCAAGTGTTTTTTAGAATTTTTCATGAAGTGTCTGAAATATGTCCCAGATGTGTTGCAGAGTAAAAGCTGGAAAAAGAATATTTCTTATTGGCATATTTTTGTATGTGAATTACTGTTGTTCATCATGCAAATAAATCACTCAATTCCACCAAGTGGGTTACAGTCATTGTGGAAACAACCTGCCTCCATGCAACTCAACTCATCATTTTTCAATGACTTTTACATTCACTGAAATCTATTTCCTACTTTTTTTATTATTTATTTGTTCGGACATCAGTTTTAGCCTGCATCCTGATGTCTACAGCTCATGTTGTTTTTTTTTGTGTTTTTTTTTCTTGATGCAGATTTAAGGAGTGCAGGTTGTCAGAGATCAGCTGTGCTTCTCTGGTCTCAGCTCTGAAGTCCAACCCCTCCCACCTCACAGAACTGGACCTGAGTGAGAACAAAGACCTGAAAGATGCTGGAGTGAAGGAGCTCAGTGGTTTCCTACAGAGTCCTCTCTGCAAAATACAGATATTGAGGTACAAGTGTAGTTCAATTCATATTTCTATGAATAATTTTATATAATACAGCTGAAAAACAAAGCTCATATCTTCTATTCTAATAACTATATATGTTCATAATACCTATATAACCCAATACCTTTTCCACTAAGTTCTAATTCTGTGTTTCAGCTCTTAAAACACAGAATTAGCCATAAAAACATTCTCCATAATGTCATGTTTTTATGGCTGTGGAAATAATTGAATTTGTCCGTATGAATCTACATTTGTTCATATTTCCTCCAAAATTCTCTTTGTCTTAGTTGTTTAAGTAAAAACTTGGATAATTTTGCTACAGAAGCAAAGCTTCTACAGTTTAAGAGTTGAAGTCACCTGGTCTATGCTGAATGTCATTAAGATCAGTTCGTGAACTGGGTCTGTTGGACTTTTTTTAACCCATATCCTGATGGCTTCATCTCACTATTTGTCATTCTTTCAGACTGAACGGCTGCAGTTTGTCAGAGGTCAGCTGTGCTTCTCTGGCCTCTGCTCTGAAGTCCAACCCCTCCCACCTGACAGAAATGGACCTGAGCTACAACAACCTGAAGGGGTCAGATGTTCAGCAGCTGAAGGCTCTTGTAAAGGCTCTAAGGTCAGTAGTTGGCTGGTCCAGTGTTTCCAGTAGAGCTGCTGCTGCTTCTCAGGGAGAGGAGAATGATGAAATACTTCTTGAGTGGACATAACAATGTACAACAATCAACCAATCGGATGCTTGTTGCTTGTTGTGTACCTCTGTTTATGTCGATGTGAAAATAACTGTTTTTGTGTTCATCTTTTTAATCAACCTTCCAACATGTATAGTGTCAGTGGTGCTCATTCATCAACCCATGGTAGAATCAGATCTTGTCTCACCCGATCTTAGTTTTATCCAGATGGGTTCAGAGACTGGTTCCATATTTATGAACCTGAGTAAAACCTATAGAGAAAGCAAACTTGAGACAAAAAGTGTGTGCAGGCATAATGAAGCTCAGTGTGTTCACTAGGCCGCGTTAAGATCTGAGCGAAGAGGAGGCTGGCTCCACTCCAAAGCTGCTCTCTGAGCAGGAAAGAAGTCCTTGCTGCTCTTTCTACTGGTTGTGCTTCATCACTAACCGACGGCTGATGGAGAGAGGCTGGAAACACTCAGTGATTTTCTCTGTTGATCCTTTTCTCTGCAGGTGGGAACCATCTTTGTTAAGGGAGAGAAGCTGAACTGTTTCCTGATGATGAAGTTGCAGCAGAGTGAGATGCTACCCCAGATCGGGGACAAGTGTGACGAATAAGGCCAGATTTGACAATAAGATGCCTTTACTATGACTCTGGGGTCTTCTAATTTCTATTAGTATGAAGTAAATAATCTAGAAGCTTCTGATTTATTCTAGATTCTATTTTTCCTAGATTCAAGCTTAACAAGGGAGGGGTGAAGTTGAAAGAAGTAAAACCCAGCATATTTTTAGTTGTTCCAATTTATTTGCAGTGATGAAACAGGACTCTTGTTAAATTGAAAAGAAACAGTTGTCTTGTCTCCATGCCCTTTCAGAAAACGGCTAGTTTTCAGAAGCAGTCCTTGACAAGGTTTTAGAAGTCAAACTCTAAAATTGACAATGCAAAAAAAAAGACATTTAAAACTAAAGGGAGATGGCTTCAGTTCAAGCAATGACGTTATGCTTTGCTTTTTTTGTCCTATAGACCTTGATTGAATTTTTTTATTTCTGTGTCTAATCATGTAATTATGAAAAACTTGTAATTTTGGTAAGTTGATCTAAGCTGCATAGGCTGTAGGGGAGACTGTGGTGAGATGAGTCATTTTTAGTTTTTAGAATCGCTACAAGGCAATCTTAGTTTAATGTCTGCATGTATCTGCATGTATTTTGGGATGTTGAGCTTCTCTTTAAGCACTCAGAATGAATATAAACATAGCTTTTTTCATAAAATAACATTTTTAATAACATGTATCTCTTGGCTCAGCATACCCTGTGTAGGACAGGGATAATGTTGATACCCCTAGCCCTTCCACCCCCAACATAATGTTTTAGTGGCTTTGGGAAGTGAACATTGTTTCATAATTACAATTAGAGTTCCTTTTTTAATCGGTTTGCAAAGTTGAGACTCTGTGGCATCTAAGAAAATCATTTTAGCCTCTGCTTCTCCATCCTTTTCAGAAGTGCTTCTCCATCCTTTTCAGAAGTGCATTTTCTGTTGTCAGCGTATCTCTTCAATGTCGTTCTGACTATTTTATATGCATTGCTTCTGATCCAATAGACTTCTCCTCACTAACTTCACAGGTGGCTAACCTACTTGTTTTGTGCTTATATACACGAGGCATGATGTCCACTCTAAAATCATGAAAATGCAGAATCTTGATTTTATATATTGGAGATATGTAGACAGTGGCTAAAATATGTGCATTAAGTGTATTTTGCTCAGTTGGCTCAACCTACCCCAAAGCTATGATTCTGACTTTACCTTAGTCTCCCTTATAATTGACCATTTGAAACTGTAAGCAGTCAATAAATGATTTTTTATAACTTGGGAATTGAATGTTACAAATATCAATAGTGAATAGTGTTGAACAATGATATCAATAATTGGAAAGTAATGTGAGGTAAAAAAGTAAATATCTGATTTAATTAATGTTGTGATTTAATATGTATAAAATATACTATTCTGTTATAAGGGACAGGAGATGACTCAGATGGCATAAGTGAAAAGGATCCATTTACTGGGACAGAAAAACATGAGGAAAGGTGAAGTGGGGAATGATAAGCTCTGACCTCAGTATAAAGAGGAAGTTCATTCGATGGCAGGGATCATGCACCTGGAAGTAATGGGAAGATCACAAGATCTTGCAAAGATGTGCAGACTAGCTCTAGTGCTAGATGATGGGAAAATAAACAAAAGGTTACAGAACTACAAAAGTTAGCCAGTTATGCTTCCAGACAGCAGACTCACAATTCAGGTTCAGAGATGCTCATGAAGATACACAGGAAACATGTCCTAATAAGGACAAAGACTGAGTTAAGATCCCAGAAGTCATGGACACATAGATCATGTTAGGCTTAGCGGGCATGTAGAGCTGTCTTTGGAAATAATTAAACAGAGTTCAACTGTTTCTGCAACACTTTTTTTTTTTCTGATTTGCTAATGTTGCACTGTGTTTTGTACTTGTTGGCTTTGCAATTAAAGACTGGGTGAAAAATGTTTTGAAAGTTGTGAAAATTTCATTATTGGGATTGTGACCATTAAGGATTCTGGTTACATGAGCTCAACAAAATTTATCAGACATTTCCAGGGGTTTGCCTTGGTCCAGAATGGATAAAAACAAAACCCTTGAAGCGTATTGTCCAAACTTCTAAAACTAATTCAACCCGATTTCAAAATGAAAGTTGTGAGAGGAGAAGCTGCCATTATCAATAGTGGTGTCCCAATACCGGCATCAGTCCGTTACCAGCATCCAGTACCGGTACTCATGCCATGACTCCAAACCGACATCACTGTTCTGCTGGACTTTGGTTCCCTTTGAGTGTAACTCATTTCAAACTTCAAAAGGTCGTGGTGGTAATACACCTATAAGGTACTTGCTGCTCCTCAAAAAAAAAAAAAAAAAAAAAAAAAAGAACCGAGAAGTTAGATGGCAGAAGGGTGAGCAAAATGTTTGCATAATTAAATTTTTTAAAAATTATTTAACATTGGTACTTTCACCAAATGATTTAATGGGCATATGAATAAGGGATCACTAGCTTAGAAAAAAGTAAATTGATGAAATGTAAAATAAATCTATGAAAATATATTTTGATGTTTAATGAAAAATGCTCAAATCTCGGATTGTTTGTGGATCTCGTTCAAAGGCAACAACATTTGAGATGCTCAGGCCTCCTGACACTCTCATCCCACAGCCCATATTGGGTTTAATAAAATAATAAAGGAACTTATTTATACAATATTTATATAATTTACGTTTGTGTTTTTTTTTATTTACTGTGAATCATCAAAAAGGTCAATAGGTCAAATATCAGCGAGCGTTAGGATCAGCGTTCCAAGGTTAGGGTTAGCATATTATGCAAGTGAAATAACTCAAAAACTATTTGTGCCAGAGATGCCAAACCTGGTACATAGAGTCAGAATTCTGCTGGCTGGGTGCAGACTCAGTGAAATCGGAGTAGTTGTGGATTTGATTAGTCTTGGGCTTATAGTTGAATTTGTATAGGAGAGCAGGTGTGTCACTGGGCTTTAATGTACGATCCATGTGTGGTTCTTGAAATGTGAGCCTTTGCATATAGTAGTGTCCAGGAAGTGAACTCTGTTGGTAGGCTTCAGTGAGACTGAGTTGAAATAAAGTAGAAACATGATCAAAAATCAGAAGGCAAATGCAATCATAACGACATACAAACACTCAGAGCATATTTTTTAAATATACATGAAAATCAGTGTTTCTGTGACTACATTTAGACAACATTAGAACATAGGTTTAGATGTACAGTGCTCCTATATATGAAATGGTAAGAAGATATATATATGATAATGATTATGTTATGGATGCTGGTAAGTAACCAAGAGGTCTATGAAGGACATAAAAAACTAAAATCTGAAAGATGAGGTTTAAATCCCCCCACCAGCCCTGGTCCCATGATGTCATCTACTGGCCAATTCATAAAACTACAGACAAAAATCCAGAAAAAGCCTCAAGACTGGTTTGTGGTTCCCACTTCTAAGGAAGAAGGGCTGGTGAGAAGGTGAGGGGACCTTTAGAAGAATCAGGGGTCAGGAATAGCTGCTCTTGAATAACTAAAATCCAAATATTTGAGCCCCTCTCAAAAAACACCGCGTGTTTTAATATTTTAAAACCAAATTTACATTAATATGCATTAATACGCACCATGGTAACAACCTTTGCACTATCGCAGATGGTAACATCTTGTTGCTTTTTTTTAAATTTGTTTTTGGTTGTTTTTTTTTAACCCTGCTCTTGGCGAGACAACCATGGAAACTAAATGATTCCCCTGGATTGACTGCTTTACAAGTGCTTAAAAGTAAAAACTTATTGTAAACTATGCACAATAAGTGCATAGTTTATAACAATAAGGGTACACCATTGTTTTCTACAATGCTGTATTAGGATAACCCTAATACACCCTTGTAGGTGTTCACACCTCATCCAAACTCATGTTAGTTTTTTGCAGATGATGCGGTTCTATTGGCTTCTTCAGGCCAGGAGCACTGGAGTGGTCCATTAATTATAATGTGTTGGTGGTTGAGTGTCTTGAAGGTCTCCAAACAACTCGGTCCTCTTGGCTTCTCTGTAAAGACGATGCAAAGACCATAATTACATTTTGTGAAACACAAAAAAAGCCAGCTGCTGTTTTCACTCTCCATGCACACGGAGCCTGTTCACTGATGACATGCGGTCTGCAGGATAATGAAGTTCTTTGTGTTGGAAGACAACAGAGAAATGTCATTTCTGTCTATTTCAGCAGAGCAGAGTCTCCTGGGACTCTGGGCTGCTTTCATTTCCAGTCAGGTGTGTCCATCATCAATCCTCTCTTTGCTTGGTTTTTACTCACCAGGAAGACGTGCGACCAGGTGTCGCTTCTAAGAGCAAACAAAATGCAAAACATTCAGTCAATTATGACATTTTATCTGCATTGTTTCTGGTGAGATTTATGCTGTGCAGCAGTGGAATATGAAGGTATTTAATTCAAATGATGATGCTCCGTTATACGGATTAATCAGAAACTCTCCTTTCTACTCAAAACACTTCAAATAGCCAATATTTGGGACACGAAAAAAGTTTCATTTCTTTAGAGATTCTGTTGGATTAGATTACTTTGTAAAAAAAAAAAAGACAAAAAAGTTTTTTTAAAACATATTTGATAAAACAATAACTTTGTCATGACAGATAATATGTGTAAAAATGAAGCTCCTCCTCCCCCTCCCTGAGCAAACACTGTCAGCTGAAGAAATGCACCACTCCTGGTCAAAAACAACCAATCAGAGCCAAGAGCAGCATCTTAGTGCTGCCAGTCACTCTTGTGTACTCACTGCTCACACCCCTCCCGTCCTCGCCCTGTGCTACACTGTGATTTTTTCCCAGTGTAGCACAGGGAAACAGAAACATTTTCAACTCGGCTGCCAACTAAAAGGTCCATGAACACAACAGCAGAGCCTGTTGTGAGTGCTAGCATAGGTAGTTAGTTCGCATAGCAACCAAATGACAGTTTTCCAGGTAAGTTGTTTCTCTGCCATTTGTACACGAGGATGATTGATAGCACTAAGACCCTCCTCTTGACTCTGATTGGTTGTGAATTTCTTCAGTTGGCAGTAGTAACTCAGGGAGGAGGATCTTCATTTTTTCATAGATTGTTAGTTTCATGTTATACAGCTAGGATTTAGCGACAATTTTAACAAATATGTAAAAAACATTTATTTTCTTAATAAAAGTTACATAGACCCCAGATCTTTACTCTTTCTGCTTTTGAACTCCATATTTTTTGTGGTCTTCACTTTATTAGGATAAGCCCTGACTCACTGGAAACCAACTTTTACAAGTAAGCCAACGAACCCTTTATTCTGAACGGAAAGGAAATTAACTTTGTACATTTAAACCACACACTGGAAATCCAAGACTATGACAAGCTGAGCAGAATGCTGGATCAGCAGAGATCTCTAATCAGGTGTTTTGTCCTTTGAATGGACACAAAAGAAGTAGGACCAAAGGTCCGTCACATTCTGCTCTCAAACGACAAACTTTTCAAAGAAACGCTGAGATGAAAAGGAGCTGATTCAATCTTTAGCTCCCTGTCAGCTTCATATCTGGTAATGAGATCTTTTATAAACGGCAGAAATGAGTTCATCCATTTAAAGAAGGTGCAGCAACACAAAACACTTATGTATAATGTCGGCTCCTTCTCCGTTAGCAAGTGGCCAGGATTTTATAGAATAAAGTTCACACACACACACACACACACACCCACACACACACACACACACACACACACACACCCACACACACCCACACACCCACACACACACCCACACACACACACACACACACACACCCACATACACACACCCACACACACCCACACACACACACACACACACACACACACACA